GATGGGGCTCTCGCTTTCTGGCATCATTCCCCTGCCCTAACCACCTAGGGCCAGGTACCAGACAACCAGCGGAGGTCCGGGTGCCCCACAGCCCCCTGAAGTTATTCAAACTAGCCGACAAGAAGCCTGCTCACCTGCCTCACCAGTTCCTTCCCCGAGGAAACCACGGTGAAGGCTCCTGCCCCCTCCTTCCCTCAGCCTCCTGACTGACCCGATGCCTCCTGAGTGGCCCCCGTGATGTGGAGCGCCCCTCCTCTTGGGAACTGAGCAACCACTCAGTGACTTCGCCTCCTGCTCTGTTGGCCTCACCAGATCTGGATGCTAATAAACCCTGTAATTTAATGCAGGCTGTGGTTTCAATCAAGTCTCTGCACTCCTTACAGTGGTTCCCTATTGTCCCCAAGATCAAAACCCGCCTTTTCAAAGCTCCCCCTCAGCCAGTGATCTCATTTCTGTCACCCTTCCAACTGCTCTCAGGACAGGACTTCACGCTCCATTTCCTAGATGGGCCTCCACGTTTCAGGGAGCTCCGGCCCCATCTCAGCAAACCGTCCAAACCGGAGTTACTGCCGTTCCTTATCCCACCCGCCAACGCAGACCCACTGGCCAGCCTCACGAAGCCACTTACAGGGTGTACCTGGGGTCAGACCCCTTCCAGTCACACACCCCCGCCACCCCCAGTGCAGGCACCACACCACCTCTCACGGGCCAGCCAGTGTGGCAGCCCTCTGCCCCTCTCACCCGCCCACGACCACTCGCCACACTGCAGACAGCGACCCCAGAGCATGCGCCAGAGCATATCCCTGACCTGCATAAACCTCCAACGTGTCTTCCTGCTTTTAGAAGAAATCGCTGGGCTTCAGGCCCCAGGTGGTCTGACCCACCTGCGTCTGAGCTTGGCCCCCCACCCCTTTCCCCTCATGTTCCAGGCACACTGGTCTTGCTTCCTCTTCCAGAAAAAACAGTGGAGCCAGCTGTGGCCCTGGCTGCTCCCGTGTGCTGGGAATACATTTCCGTGCAGAACTGTGTGACTTCCTCCTTCTGATCATTTAAGTCTCAGAAAGGAATGTCGCCTCTTCAGAGCGGCCCTTCTGATCACCCTGCTGTCCCTTGCTGTCCCCGGCAGCGTCTCACCTTCCTCGTGTGCTGGTCAGTGAATCCATGCCCTTCGCTTGCTGATGGCTTCCTGGTCAGTGGGCTCCCTCCCACCCCACACGCCCCACTGTAAGGGAGTTTTCACTGAGTGGGGGCCTGCTCGTATGCATGTGCAATATCTAGAACAGCAATTGGTGTGGGGTTGTGGTAACTACTTAATAAGTTAGCTAATTAACTTACCTCTCAGATTGCTCTATTTTCTGGAGTTTCTGGTATGCAAGCTCCCCAATTTATAGTTTTTGGCCCTTGTGATGAGCTCTGTGAATTTTGCCTGTGAGCTTATCCTTGGTGAACATTTCTTTGGAGTGAATCTTGAGTGCCTGGCCCCAGTGGTTCTCCCTGGGGGGTTTCCCTTTGGCCTTGAGGTTCTCAAGAACTCACTGGTTCTTACGGTAACGTCTGAGCCTTGGAATTTAGAACACACAGCATGTGTGGTGCAGACATCGAGGCTCCAGTTTCTATGGATGAACTCTTCCACCCTCAGCCCCAGGCCATCAGCCAGCTTCGGAGTTAGGTCTCTTGGTGGGATGAACTCTTCCACCCTCAGCTCTGTTTTCACCAACAGTTCTGACCCCTGGTTTCATTTAAGGGCCCGATTCTAAGAGATACGGACCTTAGATCTCAGCTCCAGCCCCCTGTGCAGGTGCTGAAGCCCAAGCTCCTTTTTCCGGTTCAGATGCCCTGCAGCTGCCTGGTCAGTCCTGCTCCAATGCTCTGCTTGGTCTGGGCCCAGGGAACTCCTGGGGCTTGCATGGAGCTCAGCGCTGTGTAACACTTTGGCTAATGTGTATCTTATTCAGCATCTGAGTGTGTTTGGAGGGTCCCTGTCAGCTTAGCCCACAATTGGAACCAGAAGATCCCTCCAACCCCGGTCCACCTCTTTGTTGTTACCCAGGACCCTGGTTGTGGCGACTTGTGTCATACAGTTTGGTTTATGACCCTTGTTCATGCACAGCTCTTAGAGTCACTGCAAAGCACCAAGTGCACTGCTGGGCCCCTGGGCGCACAAAATAAATACCTGCTCATTAAAGGAAAGCAAGTGACTTTCAATATTTTGTCACCAATAGCTGGTCCTGGGACTGGTGCTGCAGCTCACCACCTCCCCCAGCAGCCCACTTCATCCTGTCAGACCAGAGCCTGGGGAGCCACGGCTTCCCGCTGCAGCGGATGGGAGGCGGGAGGGAATCAGAAATGACAAAAAAGGAGAGGCAGTGCAGTGGCCTTTAAAAGCCAATGACTGTTACGGAGGCTTTCGATCTGCTAGGTGAAATGGAATACGTCTCTCACTTCTGGTGTCTTTTACCTGCCCGGTACTCCCAGGCTGCCACACATGCTAAGAGGTGATATAATCATCGTAACAACAGAAGCTAATATTAGTGAGCACCTGCTGTAGGCCAGACGTGTGCCAAGCACCTTAAATAATAATATAAATAAAAAATAATGCCGATTACGATCACAGCCGTTAACATGTGTGAGCAGAGCAGGTTGATCCAGACAGCGGTGCCAGAGCAGTAACTACACAGTGCCAGTGCATCGGGACATCCATCCATCTGTCTGTCCACACACACATTTTACTTGTCAGAGTACTCTGGATACCCTTTCCACTGTAGAGTTTTGTTTCAAAGAATTTTTCTTAGGTTTGATAATGTTCGTAAGTAAATGAATGCCTTACCTTGCCTGTCATTAACCCTGACGCATTTTAAACTTAAATGAACAAGAATAAGACAAATAACGCCCCCTCCCCAGCCCTTTCCCACGTGGGCCAGGATCCCAGGCCCGTTCCAGGAAACCCTTCTCTGCCATTTCTCCCCATCAGGTGCCCTCCTACCTGGGACAGGTGGGAGCAGAACCAGGGCTGAGACTCAGAGCCTGGAGGTAATGGAGACACCCTGTCTGCCCTCACAGGAGTGTGGGTCTCCAAAAGGCCTGGTCCTACCCGGCCCAACAACCCCCAGGGGCCAGCAGACAGCACTTCTGCCCTTAGGTGCTGTGGAGGCCAGGAAGTGAGAGGAGGGAGGCGGAGGATGCCAGACCACACGGAAGATGCTCTAGGGCAACGGGGATCCTCTCCCAAGACAAGTGGATGGCAGTTGAGGGAAGGTGGGAGATAGCACAAGTGCTGGGTTTCAGGGCCAGCTGGGCGCCTCAGTTTTGTCATCTTCTGGGGGGGGGTGTGTGTGTGTATAGGAAGACTGAATGGTCTACTCTTTGTGTAGTGCTAGCATGTGCGTCTGGCATAGAGCAGACACTATATAAACATTTGTTAAATAAATAAATGCCCCAAAGTACAAAACAAGCCCAGCCCGGCCCCGGGCGCAGGGAGGAACAGGAAGGGTTTCCTCTGACTGATTAAGGGAAGAGCTGCCCACTGCTTCCTGCTCTGGGGAAACCATTTCATTCTCTGCCTCTTACTTTTTAAATATTTTCATTGATTTTTAGAGAGAGAGGAAGAGAGAGGGAGAGAGAAACATCGATCGGCGGCCTTCTGCACATCCCCTACTGGGGATCCAGCAACCCAGGCATGTGTCCTGACCAGGAATCAAACCGGCAACCCTTTGGTGCACGGGAGGACACTCCAACCAACTGAGCCAACACTGGCCAGGGCCATCCTGCTGGAGGGAGCAGGATTTGAAACCTGTGTGGTTCCTGCGGGAGGACCTCAGGTCTAGAAGCCTGGCAGAGGCACTGGTGACAGGAGCGCAGTGTGGCCGCTGCGCGATGGGGCCCTCTCCAGCAGATGGCCTTTGGGCTCCTCGCTGCTGCTGAGGCTCTTATGACGGAGTGAGCAAGGGCAGGGCTCTAGAGGAAAACGCGCCTCGCTCACCGATTTTTATCTGCTGGGGGTGACAACCTGGGGGGTGGCCCTGGCAAAGTGAAAAGGCAGGGGCTTTCTTCTCCTCCCTGGCACCTTTGAAAAAAGGAAGCCCCAGTAGTGCCTTCTCCGCTCTGTGAACAAAGCTGAGACACAACGGACTGACTTCTTGCCGGACATCTGGTTGCCACTGGTGACGAGGGAATAGAAATAGCACAGTATTATAATCTATGGGACAGTACCCTGTACTTGTGGGGAAGCAAGAGTGTTGGCATGGGGGGTTGGGGTGGGACGGAAGGTAAAGAAAGAGAAGGGTTATTTATAAAAAGGTCAGGACACTCCTTTTCCCCCTAACAACTGTCTAAGAGTGGTGGTTTCCAATCTCAGCTACACGTTAATCCCCTGGGAGTTTTAAAAATCTAGTTGCCCAGGTCATAGCTTAAAACCAGTGTGCTTAGCAGTTTATTTTTCCTAAAGTCAGCAAGCCCAAAACTCAAAGCTTAGAAGCTGAAAAGGTACACGTGGCCCTAAAATTCCTCCTGAACGTGTCAGAGCAGGGTGAGCAGATCCCCCCACAGGACCACACAGCAGCTGTTCCAGCTCTGTGGGCCACACAAGCCTGGGCTGCAGCTGCTGGGTGGCGACCGAGGGCCTGGCATGTGCCCCTCTGTAGTCCAGAAGAGACCAGGTGGCTTTGCTGAATTTCCTTGAACATCTCCCTATTGCTCCTCCCAACCCAAGGATCCCCCCTTCGCAAATCCATTCATGAAAATCACATCGGAATAACCTAGCGAATAGGTGTGACACCAGACTGAGAAGAGCACGTGGTCAGAGCTGGTAAAAGTCTCTGACATTTAAAAAATAAATAAAATAAAATAAAAAAGAGAGAGCAACATTCCCTCACAACACACACGCTGACACAAGGGGGAGATTGGGGATAGTGGGTCTCAGCCCTATGCTTCCGCTGTGTCTCCTGGGGTGGGCGCGGCCTTCCCGTGCGGGCAGCTGCATGGGCAGCCTGCGGGATACTCACGACCAGTACAGCAGCATGAGCAGGAAGGGGCAGATGATGAGCGCCTGCAGCACCTGCCAGTCCCGGCACAGCGCCGCCAGCCCGGGCATGAGGAGCTGCCCCGCCATGGCCACGAAGCTCGCCACCATGGTGATCATGAACCGTTTTCCAGGGGGACACAGCTCTATTCCTGGAACACAGAAAGGACAAGAGAGACATGAGTATCCTGCCCCTGGCCTCGGGGAGCCACCGGGGCACCGGGGCCAGTGCACTTCTTAACCAACCAAGAACTGTCAAATCGGGGTTATTTGCTGGTCATCTGAGAGCCCTATACAGTAAGTCAAGACCCTCATTTTTACAGCTAGACGAGCTGAGGATCAGACGGGAAAGGGAGCGAGATCATTGCTCAAGGTCACAGAGCAAGTCAGTGGCAAAAGAACATTATAATTCAGAGCTGCCTAGTCCAGAAGCTAGCAAACACTGCAAGGGGGCAGTGTTTGCATAGCACATTATTCCCACTTCTGCTCTCTGGAGGCCACTGCGTGTCTTGTAGAGTGGACTCTGTCGTGCCCGCCTGTCGCCACTCTTCCCTCTACCAGGCTGTATTAGGGCACCCTCTCATTCTCTGCACAGGGCAACCAGGAGCACCATCTGCTCACGCCCACCCACCTGCACGTCCTTCCTTTTGAACAAGACGAAACCCAAACAGTATAGCTGACTTGGATCTTGTGATGTTCTCATGGGAAGCTTCTCCTCCCGACGGGGGCTCTCTGCCCACTGTGACCTGGGTGTGATGCTTCCCTCTCTCTGGTCCTATCAGGTAGATACCAGGGTGGGGGTGGGGGTGGGGGTGTCTGCTTGATCTTCACAGCTCCAAACAACACCAGTGTCTGCCTCCACTAAATGTCTACTGGATGGAAGCACACCATGGTCCCTCCTGTTGGCAGGAATCTAGGCTCTCAATGTGACCCGGAGCCAAAGATGGTCCCCAACTTAGACGGCAGTGCCCAGCTGCCAACCAGCAGAGACCCGCTACGTGAGCTCCTGAAACAGAGGTAAGTCCTCAACACTGCAGTGGACAGCAGGGTTCACGTACTTTAGAACACACACGTTCGTTTGCTCTTCTTCTCCCTAAAGCTGGCTTGCCTTTTTTTTTTTAACTGTAGGTAAAATGAACCTTTTTTTTTTTTTTTAAAAAAAAAGACTCTCAGGAGAAAGTACTTTTCATGCATCTGTGTCTAGACACTGATTGTAGGTCAGTTGCCACAGCCCATCGCCCACTTTCTGACTGTCTAGAGGCCAGAGCAGAGGTGGGGGTTGCAAGGCAGTGAAGGAGAACAGATTAAAGGGGAGAACAGACAAACTACACTTGCAGGACAGAATCAGCCCCACCAAGGAGAGGGCATCATGCCAGCCAATGCCTGCACCGGCTCATAGGGGAGAAATAATAACTTGATCAGAATTTCCATCCCCGCTCCGCACAAACAGGCATCATGATCCCAGCTATCGTGAGCGAGAGAAACTTGACCTCCAGAGAAGAACGTCTAAAGAACTTTGTTTCCATTTAATTAAGAAAACAGGATTAAACAGCCGTCTCCTGGCCACCGGCTGTGATGATGCTCTTCTCTACGCACAGGCCAGGCTCACTTCAAAGATGACCTCCCAGGGGGCTCAGGCAGGCACGTGGGGTCTGGCATCTCTGCTCTTAAACATAGTAAAGCAACCAGAATCTTTTTAGAAAAGACTACCAGCTGCAGGTTCTAGCTTTCACTTGCTCAGCCCGAGCGGTGGATTTGCTATGGAAATCCGAAATGGGCTTTGGGCGGGGTGTGTTCAGCGTCTTTGGCGCAGCACAGGCTCGTATCAAATGAGGAAATTTAGCACCTGCCTACTCAGGTGACCTTTAAACAAAGTCACAGAGATACATGATGCCAAAGCAGCAGCACGGCTTCACGTGGGCGGCGCACGAAGCGAGTGCAACGGGCATGCCTTTCTCCTTAGTTTTGTGAGACCCGAGTAGGAAAATATCTGCAACTCCAGTTCCGCCCCACAGGCCCCCTGAGGGGATGTCCAGTCCCACACACTAACCACACCATGCACCATCACACTAGCATCACCGGCAGCCTTCTAAACCGGGGCTAGGTTGGTAGATGATGAAGGAAAGTTGCCCCGTGTGGGCCAATGATTCCAGTCTGACTTCTCACTCTCCCCTCCCTGCAAATGGGACGCCGTGCCCGGGGCACCTGTTAGTGTTACTGTAGATATGAGTTCATGGCCAGTGTTTCCTCTGTGGGCTTCTCTTGTTCTTCTCCCATGAGTGGTCTGAGCAATCCTCTAACTCCTTGCTACTTGGACCTGAAGCATCAGCAGCTCCTGGGAGTGTGTTAGAGGTGCGCGCTCAGGCCCCACCCACACCCAAGAATCAGCACCTGCAGGTTAACAAGGTCCCCAGATCTCTACCCAGGAGCAATGTTCTTGCCCCCCCCCCCCCCCCCCCCC